GAACTCCGAATGTGACAGCTAGTTCACGGCTAGATTGAAATGGATCCGATTGCAATGCGTGCTTCAGCTTGTCCAAATCCAACTCACAGGGTCTCCCAGAGCGATCCTTTTCATCGAGCGAGAAGTCATCTTTTTCGAAACGATGGAACCAATTGCGAATAGTATTGTAGTGAGGGGCATGTGTGTTGTACACATTCTTCAAGAAAGTTTCCGAATCCTTCATCGTGGTGTGAGATAGGAAGAGGTAAATCAAAACATGTCTGATGTGAATAGCAGTGGGAACAAACATATCGTTTCAATTACAGATGAGGAGCAGGGAAGGAGATGGGGACTTGTTTATATGGAAGGTTCTTATCACCTTGTTATTCACTAGAGTCGATATCATACACAGCCTCCATATACGAGAACAGTGATTAAACAAACAGAGTGACAAAGACTTTCCCGCCAACCTAATAAAGAGTATGAGTTATCTCACCTTGCAATTTACAAGAATCCCATTCTGTCGGTCAAAGTGATAAGTTCGAAGAAGTTGCCTGGAAAAGATCTAGTTTTTATAGAAAAAAGTTTATAGAAACTCACAATGCTGCATGAATTGCATGACGAACAAGCTTGTCGGCTGACTCGTAAGAATTTCGACGTCGAACGATTTCTTTGCAAGCTTCCTCGTACGGATACGGCAATCCTTTGACAAACTGTTCCATTATATCGTCTTTCTAATCGTTCGTAATTGGGTTCTCATAAATGTCTTCTTCTTTCTCTTGTTGACTGTTCCGTTTCGTCGAAGGTTCTAAAATTGAGTCAATGTGAGACTTAATTTAGAAAAAAAAATCATACCTCCTGGGTGGGATACTTCTGATAGGATTTCGTAGATGTCTCATCTTGCTAACTGATATCCCATCTCTTAAAATGAAACATTAAAAAACTCTTTCTATTCTATGCTCACAATGGTTTCTCGTTTTTTTTTTTCGCTTGCCCCGATTCCACTCATCGATGACACTCATCCTCCTGTTCCTTCGTTGAAAACTGAAAAAAAGGATAAGAATTTGACAGTATTTGAAAAAATTTAGAGATAATCGTAAGAAAATTATTAGAAAACGTATGAAAAATATGTTTAAAACTTATAACCGTTAAAAAATGCTGCATCATCGCAACCTTCTGAGCTTCTGCTCAGCGTCTGCCCACCCTTTGCCCCTCTGCGCGCCGTTGGACTATTGCCCTACTTCTGCCCAGCCTTGGATCAAAGTCGGCCCGCAGCCCAATTCACCCAACTTCTCCACCAAAGTTGCCCACATTTACCGAGTGAGCTCTCAAAAAGTCCGAAATACCATATCTCGGCTCCCAGGCAAGCTAGGAATGTGATTTTTTGAATGTTGATAGATCATGAGATGCACAATGCCCACTTCAAGAGCCAACTTGCTAGCTAATCTGAGAACAGAACTACGGACCTTTGAAGTCTGGGAGGCAGCTAGGGCGTCTTCATGCCCTGACTTTAAAGGATCATATCTCGGCTCCCAGTCAAGCTGGAAGCTTGATTTTTTGAAAATTGGTAGATTATAAGATGCATGATGCTCAGCTCAAGAGCCAATTTTCTATATATAGATATCTTCAAGCTTCTTTCCGGTGAATATGTCGATGGCGACCAAGTGGACCTTAGCGTGACCGTGCTTTCCGGTCTTGGAAGTACTATTATTCCCAGTCCATGTCTGGAAAAGTTCAGTTCTAAGCTGTGATTGAATGCAGTAAATATGATAGTTGTAGAAAGATACAAAAAATCATAAATGGAATCCAAAGCTCTCAATAGAAAGGGTCTCCAGGTAGATGTCGTTGAAGAGAAAAAAGCAAAATAAATTTGAAAATAATCTTCGAATTTCGTGCTCATTTCGATACGGATTCACTTGGAACATTGCAAGTAATGAGAATTCAACTGATATGACCATTCTTGCTACAGTTATGGATGTTTCGGTTTTCTTTATTATGGTTTTCATAACGAAAAGGACATAAAGTGTGATTCCGGAGAAGATTATAATCATTGTCAAGGAGAAAATAAAGTATGCCAAATGAAGTTTTGACAAACTTGCCTAATCATTATCACTATTATTTGGAGTCTTCTTTTTAGTATGAAAATTTCGTACTTTGTGCTTGTTTCCATCACTTTAAAAAATTTCAGTTTAGGCCACTTTTTTGCATGAATAACACTATTTTTTCCATTTTAACGATGTAATCTGAAGTTATTCAGCTAGTTTTGGATTTTTTCAGGCGTAGTAACAAAAAAAATACAAAAAAATGAGCAAAAATGACATAAACTGAAATTTTCAAAAAATTATGAAAAATGTTCAAAGATCGAAATTTTAATGAAAACAGCCACAAAACTGGAAAAGATCGGTAAATCTCAACTTAGGCATAATTTTTCCACTTGCCCCCCCCCCTTTGACTTGGCCCCCCTTTTCTTATGGGCCCCCTCCCTTTTCGCTTGGGCCCCCTTTTCTCATGAGCCCCCCTTGTCATAAAGAGCCAATAATTTCAAATTATACAGTTACAATGAAAAAAATAGTGTTGTTCATGCAAAACCGGCCTAAACTGAAATTTTTTAAATTTATGAATTTTTAACTTTTTATGGAAACAAGCGCAAAGAATGCAATTTTCATAGAAACATCCGAAGAACTTGAAAAAATTGGTATATCTTAACTTAGTCCACATTTTTACCTATGAGCCCCCCCCCCCCCTCCTTGTCATAGAGAGCCCAAATTTCTAGGTCAACCGAGAGCCAAGATACACTCGTTTGAAGCTGAGTCAGGCTCGCTGAGTATCAAACGACCGCTGTATCTCAGCTCTCAGAAGACCTGGAATCTGAATAGGTAGTACTGTAGGAATAATTTTCCTAGCTTGTATGGGAGACGTGGTATATCGATTTGAAGTTACCGTGAAGCTTGGAATAGAAAGGCCTCCACACTCTCATCTTTGAGCTCAATTATCTCGGTTCCTGTGAAAGATATCGAAAAGTGATAAACTGGTAAAATGTTTAAGATATTATGATAAAAATTTTATCAGTTTACCACTTTTTGATATCTTGCATAGGAATTGAGATAATTGAGCTCAAACTTGATAGTGTGGAGGACCTTCAGTTACTGGCCTTACAGTAAGCAGTTTTCAAAGGTGCATATCTTGCTTCAAAGATAAGCTAGAGACTCCAAACTCAATGTAGTATATTCTATGGGTAGTATTCTGGCAAAGTTTCAAGATTCATTCTCATCG